GTGAAGGGATTTTGCTGATATAAATGAAGTCCCTAATGAGTTGACTTTACATTCATCTAAAGGGAGATTATCCTGGTTGTGCCAGATTTAATCTGTTGGAAGTTTTTTTTAACAGAGGGCCTATGAGTTCATACACTGCAAGCAGCACCTGCTACACGTGCCTCTTCTTCTTCCTTTTCTTCCTTGATCTCCCCTTCCTGGCTGCCTACTCTGTGGACGCGGTCCTTGGTTGGCCAACCCCCGCAACAGCACAAGCCAATTCCGTGTGTGTGTGTGTGTGTGTGTGTGTGTGTGTGCAGAGACATAGATACAAAGCTAGAGCTAGAGTTCAAGATCCTCCAGTTTCTGCTCCTCTGGTTGAACTAATGTAACACACTAAATACCCACCAAAATAGGATTAGATAAATAAATTATGCTTTCTTCATTACAATGAAATACTATGTAACTACTGCAAATGATGATGTGTACCTCCATTAGACAAGGACACACATCTCAATGTTAAACACAAAACAGGTTACAAAAAAGTATGTACATCTTGTATTATTTATGTGTTGTTTTTTTTTTAATTTAGGGGCAGAGAACAAGTTGGCTCTGCTCACCAAAGTTTTGTGTTTTTTGTTTTTTTTTTTAAAGATTTTATTTATTCATTTGACAGAGAGAGAGAGATATCACAAGCAGGCAGGCAGGCAGAGAGAGAGGAGGAAGCAGGCCCTCTGTGGAGCAGAGAGCCCAATGCAGGGCTCGATCCCAGGACCCTGGGATCATGACCTGAGCCGAAGGTAGAGGCCCCAACCCACTGCTCACCAAAGTTTTAATGATGATGATGAAACGTTAAAGTCTTAATCTGGGTGTTAGATTTTAGGTGATTGCTGTTTTATTCTTCAGATTCTTTTGGATTACTTCATTGTCTACAATGGCCATGTATCATAATTACTACCAGAGAGAAAAAAAAAAAAAAGAGAAAAAGAACCAGTTCTCATTTGACAGGAAAAAATGTAAGAGAGACTTACAGGTTAAAATGTGCAAACACGGGGCGCCTGGGTGGCTCAGTGGGTTAAAGCCTCTGCCTTCGGCTCAGGTCATGGTCTCAGGGTCCTGGGATCGAGCCCCGCATCGGGCTCTCTGCTCAGCGGGAAGCCTGCCTCCCCCCCTCTCTCTGCCTGCCTCTCTGCCTACTTGTGCTCTCTGTCTGTCAAATAAATAAATATTTTTTAAAAAATAAAAAATAAAAAAATAAAATAAAATGTGCAAACTCTTGTTTGTCCCTTAAGAGGACACTATGTGGGGCACCTGGGTGGCTCAGTGGGTTAAGCCTCTGCCTTCGGCTCAAGTCATGATCCCAGGGTCCTAGGATTGAGCCCAGCATCGGGCTCTCTGCTCAGCAGGGAGCCTGCTTCCTCCTCTCTCTCTGCCTGCCTCTCTGCCTACTTGTGATCTCTCTGTCAAATAAATAAATAAAATCTTTTTTTAAAAATTAAAAAAAAAAAAAAAAAAAGAGGACACTATGTGCCAAAGATGAACTCTACAGTTTAGGAAAGTGAGAATTTAACAATGACAAGAGATGAGGCTGAAGAGATGGACTAACTTATGACAGATCTTATACGCCATGTGACAGTTCTGAACTAATGAAGACATTGAAACAAGAGGAGTCACATTTGTATTTTAGAAAAATAATAATAAAATAACATAAACAAAAGCCCACTGAGGCTTGCAGTATGGAGACTGTATTAGAAAGAGGGCAGACTAGACACATGGAAACCAATTCGGACACTACTACAGTAATCCAAGTGAGAAATGATGAAGTCCTGAACTAAGGAAATAGCAGTGGAGATAAAGAGAGTAAGCCGCTAAGGTAGAGTAAGGAGTAAAAACTGCGGGATTTTGGAGGCGAATACACTGGTAGTAACGAGACAAAAATAGTTCCCTTAAGCTGGGAGTTCAGAGAAGTCTTCCTAAAAGATGGGCTCTCAAGAATATCACAGAGAGATGCAAGACGCCTTTAAATGTTTCTAAAGAAATGTGAGTGTGTTGGCTCACAACCACTCAAAGGAAAAATAATAAGCAATACACTAAAAATGAGAGCACTCAACTACAAAAACCAATTCACAATTATTTGTTGTATTTATAATAGCACTATATAAATATGAATCTCTAATCTCTTGAGGTTGACCTCTTCCAAGAAAATCAAATTACTGTCAGAAATAAAACACTCTGCATAGTTGCTTGATCTGAGTCACACTCATAGCCACTTATAAGTCAAACGTGTTTCATATAAATTGTTATTTTAGTCAACCCTTATTTCACTGCTTGGCCAAATACAATCTTTTAAATTTTTTTAATTATAATCATTTAAAATACACAAGTAAAATATTCTCACTATAACAATTTGAATTCAGAAATGTAGTTACTCTACCCTCCACCAACTCCCTACCCTTATTACTCTGAAATTACTAGTTAAAATGAGTTGGATATTCTATTTTTCTTTGCTTAAACATATACAAGTTTATATAGGGTTTATTTAGTAACAATGGGTTCATACAGTATATATATTATCCTATAACTTGTTTTTACTTAAGGTAATCATAAATTTCAAGCCAAAATATTTAACATTTCTATTATTTGTAATAATGTGGACATTCTATAATTTGACATATATTTAGAACATCTGTGTTTTTTTAATACTAAAATTAATGATATAATGAATACTGCTATATACTGCTTTAAATAATGGTTCTTTTTTTATTTTTTTTATAAAAACAGTCTATTTTAATTCATTAAAACTTCAGTTTTAACATATTCTAAAACTATACACTTTTATCCTCTCAAACTTTTGTTTTTGATGTCACAATATACATCTTATTTATCTTTGTATTCCTTTACAAATTATATTTTTTTACTATTTTTGTCTTTTAGACTTCATACTAGCTTACAAATGATTAACTCAGCACCTTTACATTAGATTATTCTGAACTTTCTTGTAAGTTTATTTTTACCTGTAAAGTTATACTTCCAAATGTTTTATTGTTACTAATTAGTACCCTTCTATTTCATTTAAAGAACTCTCTTTAACATTTCTTTTTTTTTTTTTTTCCATTTGGGATTTTTTTTTAATTTTTATTTACTTTTTAAATTTCTTTTCAGTGTTCCAGAATTCATTGTTTATGCACCACATCTATTGCTCCATGCAATACATACCCTCCATAATACCCACCACCAGGCTCACCCAACCTCCCACCCCCCCGCCCCTCCAAAACCCTCAGATTGTTTTTCAGGGTCCAAAGTTTCTCATGGTTCGTCTCCCCCTCCAATTCCTCCCAACTCCCTTCTCTTCTCCATCTCCCCATGTCCTCCGTATTATTTTTTATGCTCCACAGTCGCTAAACTGTGGGAAGAACCAGGATGCCCTTCAACGGACAAATGGATAAGGAAGATGTGGTCCATATACACTATGGAGTATTATGCCTCCATCAGAAAGGATGAATACCCAACTTTTGTAGCAACATGAACAGGACTGGAAGAGATTATGCTGAGTGAAGTTAAGTCAAACAGAGTCAATTATCATATGGTTTCACTTATTTGTGGAGCATAAGAAATAAAGGTACTCCTAATGGTATTTCTATCAGATAAATTCCCTGAAAAGTTTCTTGGTTAAAGGATAGTATTTTAATTAATATTACTATATTAAGTTCTCAAAAAGCAGTAATAATTTAGACTCACCAGCAGTTTGAGGATAGATGTTTTCCCCCATACCCTTGTCAGTTCTAGAAAATTTCATATTCACTCTTGCCCATTTGACTAAATGGAAAACTTTGTCTACTTTTAGTGACAGCATCTTTTCATGTGTTCATTGTCCATCTGCATTTCCCTATTTGTGAATTGCTTGTTCCTATCCTTTACTCTTGATCCTGTTGTCTTTTTCATTAATTTTTGTGGAAACTTATGTTTTATCATGTAAAGCTTTTTAAATTTTTCTGCAATCAAATCTGCTAATTTTTTCTCCCAGGGACTTTAGATTCTGTGTCTTGCTTAGGCCTCCTCTGCTACACAAGATTAAACTATCACCTGTATTTTCTTGTAATTATTTTATTACAATTTGGTTTTGTCCTTATTTTACATCTAGATCTTCAACTCATTTGGAATTTATTCTTATGGTGTTATAACTTAGAAGATGTCCCAACACCATCTACTGAATTATTCATCTTTAAATGCTTCCTTCTAGAGTAATAAATTACAAATAGCCAAAATGGCACACAAATAAAATTCCTAGGAATTCTTAAATTTCACTAACTGAAATAAAATTCCAAACTTATCAAAAGTTTTTTGAAAGACATTTACCACTTTTACTTTAAAAGAAATCACACATTGGGACATATGCATACAGTATACCAAAATCAGCATACAATGGTGAAATAGTTGATTTTTTTTAAACATAGCAGAAATGGAAATTAAATCAATGATCTAACTTTTTTTTAAGATTTTATTTATTTATCTGACAGAGAGAGAGAGATCACAAGTAGGCGAAGAGGCAGGCAGAGAGAGGGGGGTGAAGCAGGCTCCCTGCTGAGCAGGGAGCCCAATGCAGAACTTGATCCCAGAACCCTGAGATCATGACCTGAGCCAAAGGCAGAGACTCAACCCACTGAGTCACGCAAGCACCCCTAAGTCAACAATCTAACTTTTAACATACACAGAAATAATCACTGTTTGAAATCTCAAGATTATTCATTGATTCAGGTCACAAATATTTATTAAGCACCAACTAACAGGTGTTCCAGATTTAATGTGGGCCAAAACAAGTAGATCCCTACTCTCATGAAGCTTATAATCTAGTGAGAGCTTCTCTCTCTTCCAGAAACAATGTATTTAAGTGAAAAAGAAAAAAAAAAAAAAGAAAGAAATGTATGTTCACACAAATACAGTGCTACGAAAAACATTTTGGCAAATTTTATTACACATTCAGTACTTTCCATTTCCAAAATACTACTTTATTTCAAATGTACCTATTTATCCTGGTAACTCTCTTTACTCATGTTGAAAATCCTGCAAGAAATTAAGATTAACTCCATTTAAAGATTAGCTATTACCCATCAACCTACACCTACAATACCTATGTCTACTCTCCTCACTTCCTCAACAGTATTTAATTTCTTTCACTATGGTAAATAACTCAAAAAGAGAAATCTAGTTACATCAGCCACGTTCAGTCCATCAAATCAAAGTTTTTTCCAAAAAGTATACCGAGACTGAGAGACTTTTCGGCGATTCCCACAGATCTAGCAAATAGCAATACTATGTTGCTTGGAGAGGAAGCAAGAGCTTCGGTGGTCCTTACACTGCATCAGGTAACAAGGGCAACTCATTAATGACAATCACCTTAAACGTCAGATCCCACGACCGAGGCCACCGCCACTCTCAGCCTTGTAATACCTGGCCCTTGTGGCCACGCCCCCCATACGAACTCAGGGCCTCCTCCATGCATCCTAGCTCCTCCGGACCCAACAGCACAAAGTACGCCCAAGAGAGGGAAGGCGGTATTACTGCCCCTACGATGTGACCTTGGCTAAGTGTCTCCTCGTCAGTTTACTCATCCGTGAGATGAGGCTGGTACTCCGTGCCCGCCTCTATCCCCAGGCCTGGGTTCAGCACCTAATGCCACAAAAGGCAAAGCTGCAGCCCTAAGCTCCACGCTGTGCCCCGCGACTGCCCCGCGACTGCCCCGCGACTGCCCCGCGCCGCCCCCGCCTCCGCCCGCAGTCCGAGGCCACGCGCGCTACCTGCGATCTGTGAGACGAAGGCTTCAGCCACTAGAGACATGTCTGCTGGGCGGCTCTGCGCCCGCGGTTCCTACACCCCCCGGCCCTTGACGTCCTCTTCTGAAACCCGTGCGTCTCCTGCTGCTACCAGGAGTGATCCCGGCTGAGGCTCGGACTCGCACAGCCCACCTACGTGCGGGTGGAAGCGGTGAGGACCCCAAGGTTACCGCCAGGCCTGGACAGGAACTTCCGGCGCAGCTGACAGTGGAGAGAAAGCACTTCCGCCCGCGTCACCGGCGCGCTCCTCCCCTGGCGCGGGGGTTCCCGAGTCCTAATCTGGTCGCGGAGGCTCCGCGGCCGGGGGGTGGGGTCCCTGGTTCCTGATCGCTTTAGGCTCCAACCTGGGGGTGGAAAGAGGGATCCTGGAGGTTTTCAGTATCCTTTCTATCCTTTCTGTAAGCGAGAATTTTCTAAGCAAGATAATGTTTTTTTTTTTCTTTTTAAAGAATTCTTTGTTTATTTGAGAGCGAGAACCCGAGCTGGGGGAGGGGCAGACTCCCTACTGCAGAGCCAGGGAAGGGCGCCGAGCTGGGTCTCACAATACTGAGATCATGACCTCAGTGGGGTGCTTAACCGCCTGAGCAACCCCTGCGCCCCAGCAAGTAATATTTTTAAGCGGCACCATACCAAGCCCTTTAAAAAGCGTATACAGCATTCTATTTAGTGTCTTCTTCTCAACAACCAAGAAGTCGATATTGTTATGGCCATTTTATGGATAAGGAAACAGGCTTAGAAAGTTTAAACTGCCTCCTCAGGGAGTATGATGAGGCCCAGATTCAAATCTGGGTTGAATTTCCTCTGTTTCTCTATACTGCTAGGTTGATTAGTCCATGGACAGACATTAGTGTTTATTCCTTTATTCAAAGGTGTTTGGCAGAGAGGAGGCATGAGAAGCCCCTAAGCTGAGAAATAATTTGCCCTTCAATTCTAGACACCCGAAAAGAAGCTCATCTTGCAGAATAAGTTTCACACACTTCTCCCTTTGGAGTGGGGGAGGTGAGAGGGGCAGGAAAAGGAGGAGACATTAAATCCATAAGTGACTTTTTATACAGTTTATACAAGCATACAATTAAGGAAACATAAGGATATGTTACAGATTTAGAGGCATAAAATATTACAAGTGAAACTGACTTCAGAGATCATCTGGTGAGCCAAGGCCCCCTTTCACTGCTGAGAAATTCGTAACAGATTACCACAAACTAAATGGCTTAAAAACAACAAATTTATTCTCTCCCAGTTTTAGAGGCTGGATGTCCTAAGGACTCTAGCTTTCTCCTGATTCTTTGTAGCTTCTGGAGGTTGCCAGCAATCTTTGGCCTTCCTTTGCTTATAGACACATCAACTCAAATCTCTGGCTTCATCATCACATGGCAGAGTATATTTGTATCCAAATTTCCCTCTTCTTATAAGGACAGCAGTCACTGGATTAAAGTCTACCCTTATCCAGTATGACCTCATCTTAACTTGATTTCATCTGCAAAGGCTATTTCCAAATAAGCTTACATTCACAGGTACCAGAGATTAGAAACTTGAACATACCTTTTTTTGGGGGTGGGGGGATACAATTCTACCCACTACACTAAATAATAAATTTTTTAAGAATAAATCGTCAATATTTGTATCACCCTTTGCAACTAGGAAATTTGTTAAACTAATTTAAATTTACTCAAAAAGGTACCTGAACATAAATATAGCAATGTATTAAGAAACAGTATCTTCTCACTGGCTGAGATTCAGAGTTGACAGTGGGTTGAAATAATAGGTTTTTCTTGTTTGTGCTAAGGGAGATAACACTGATAGTAAAGAATATGCCCACTTTCCTCCTCCTTAGCCCATGAATGATATTGACCAAGAGAAATGAACTGTTCCAGGATATGGGGAGGCAATTGAAAGAAAAGCTTTCAATTCCTGTCTGTTTCTCTGCACAGTGAACTAGTATAACTTGTAAAAGTGAAGATCTGTCACCTATTGAAGTTCTGTTACCAAGTTTGGTTTGTCACTTTTTAAAAGCTGGAATAAAATTTTTGACTACTTTTTGACACTTGCAGAATTTTTTTTAAGATTTCTCCATATCACAGAGATTATGTGGGAACCTGAACCAAAGGCCTTAGAATTGGACCAGGGAATCCAAAATCCAACAAGTCCAAAGGGCAAAGGTGAGCCCCAAAGTGGAAGGAGAATGGCAAGATCCAGGGACTTGGCATACATGCAAGAAAAACAGAGCAAGATGAGAGGCAAAGGAGAGTGTGCCCTCAAAATTTCAGTTAGGTGTCTATGCCTTGATGCCTAGCACATCGATGATCTGGACTGGCCCAAAGGTACTGCACTGGTGATTGACACCAACCCTGTTCTAGAAAGCTTTTGAGAAAGAAACGGATCTGCTGGGGGCACTGTCTATACCCAACCCTTTCATCATTGTAGCTGGGGAAACAAGACTCATCAGCACCATATGGATTCACTTTTTCTCCCTGACTGATGGTTCCTTTGCTTCCCACACAGGCTAATTTAGACTGGAAAGAATCTATAATGTGGGAGGTCTTTATTACTAAAAATTAGATCCAATAAAATGCAGATGTCCTGACAGTATCCACAAACAAGCTGTCTTTGAATAAATAACCAACTGGAGTAAATGTATTTATGCATCTGTATTAGAACAACTGGCAGATTTAGAACTGAAGATCTGTTTAAGATCACAATTAAGGAAAATACAAGAAAACAAGCCACTGAAGGTTTTAAGGATGAGGTTATAAAACAGAAGTGTTAGGGAATCAGTATGTTACTAAAAGGATAATCACACAATTATTTAAAATAAAATATTAATGCATGATATGAATATTGTTTGCCCTAACAAAATCACTTTTCTTGCAAAACTGTACTACCATGAAAACAGCTTCATGTCTCTAGTCTAGATTTTATATTACGATATTAAGTAGGAAACACAGAGCTGTCATCATGAATATACACTTTATTAACATTAAAGTATCAAGGCATTTTATCTGCATTTCATTTTTCTCTGACAGAATGTTCATATTTTAAATGTAAATATTTTCTTTTTTGAAAAATGCCTGCAAGATAAAATTTAGGCTGAGATTCCTTCAAAATTGTACTATTTACTTGACAATGATAAAATAAATTCAAGCCTTATTATGAAATTAGTCCCCCCCTTCCTATCTCCATCAACAGAATTAATTATGGATAATTCAATCCATCCCAATAAAGTGTTAGTACAATTAAAAACACTAAGGTAACCATATTATGCCCCAGAGCTTTTTTGTTAATCTACTAACAGTTTTTACTTCTTTAAAAATAATGGAGCTGTAGGCAACTATAGGCAGTCTAATATATGGGGTTGACAAAGATACTTTTTAAAGGGTACAGAAATGTAGCAGCCATTTGTCCTTACACCTCTCAGCTCCTCTTTCATCCATTTTGTTTAATTCCTGAGAAATTATGATCAACCCAGAACTAAGTTCTTACCGGTTTCTCACTTTCTGATCCCACCCTCTTGTATCTTAGGCTAGCACACCCTCGAATGAACTACAGGCGTATGGACTACAACACTACACTTCAGGAAATATCTACACTATTGATTATAGTGGGCCTGGATTCTTTGAATATTAACTGATTTTCAACAGTAATTAAAAGGCTTAATTTCCAAAATACGCTGCCAGGTCAGGTATTCTCATAGTTTTATGTTATTATTAGGAGCTGAGTCTTTTAACTCTATCTAGTGAGGGTGCTTTTCTCGGGTGGTTGAAAATTGTCTTATCTACTGTTCCAGGAACTGAGTTCGTTAGGACTTTCCTGGCTGCAAGTTACAAAGGAACAAACCCAGTTAGGCAAGTTTAAGTTTATTGCCTTGTAGTGGTAGAAAATATACCAGAGTAGTTCACAAAACTGAATGAAAACCTCTAGGAACCAGAGTGTCAGCTCTCTCGCTCTCCTTCTACCTCTCATTTCGGCTCAGCTTTATTCTTTCTCCCTAAAGACACATCTTCTCCCAGTAGGCAGAAAAATAGTTGCTTAGAGCACCAACTTGACATCTTCTTAGCTTGGAAGCCTCAATTTCCATAAATTAATCTCAGGGAAGAATTATAATTGTTTGGATGTTAATCACCTTTGAATGAAACACTTTGTCCAAGTGAATGCGTTCACTGACCAAGCCGGCAAGGGAGGTACAGGATCTGTTATGAAAGAAAATGAGAGAAAAGACACAAGGCAGCCAATATCATAGTACCCCATCCACAAGAAGAATCGAGAGTGCTATAATGGGGCTACCGCTAGTGTTAAAACTACAAAAGTCACTTAATCTCTTTATTATTTTTTTTATTTCTGGGGCACCTGGGTGGCTCAGGGGTTAAACTTCTGCCTTCAGCTCAGGTCATGGTCTCAGGGTCCTGGGGTCGAACCCCGCATTGGGCTCTCTGCTCAGCAGGGAGCCTGCTTTCTCCTCTCTCTCTGCCTGCCTCTCTGCCTCCTTGTGATCTCTCTCTCTGTCAAATAAATAAATAAAATCTTTAAAAAATTTTTTATTTCCACAAAGGGGCTAATAAAGTGTAATGATGCCTTAACTAAAGCCCCTGGGGTTGGGGAGGAGGAGAGAAACTCAAATGATCGTGTTAACTAAGAGGAAAAGCTGAGGAGGCCTTCAACAGAATTATTATATTTATTTATATAGCTATTTATTATATTACTATATTTATGCAAAAGTAGATACTTTCACATAAGTGTAATGAGCTAACTCAACCTTAAATCACTATAGCAATGAACTTACAGTTTTTCAAAACAAAACAAAAAACCCATACACAATTGTCTCATCCCATGGTGTATATAACACCCTTCCACAGCTGGATAACAAGGATATGTACTTTCTGAAACTATAAATAATATGTGTGAATAAAACAACATGGAAACATGAATGATGTTATGTTAATTTAAAAAAGCAGAATTAGAAATGTACTTTATTCTGAATATATCTACGTAAAAACGTGTATATGAAAAAAAATTTTCAAATGTAATAAAGCCTTGATCCAGTAGGGTGGGATCTTGATTTTTTTTTTCTTTTTGCTGTTTTTTAAATTCTCTGTACTATTTTTATGCTACTTTTACCATTGGGGGAAAAAAGTATTTTCATCACTGTGGATAAAGGTGACTGACCGGTCTACATCTAGGCCTTGCATAATATAGACCTTATTAGACCTTAAT